GACGGTGCAAAGGGGCTGAGCTATGCGCTTCCCCGGGGGGGTGCGGGTAGGGCTGCTGAGGGCCGAATTCGGCGGTCCTCGGCGGTCCTGGCTGTAGCCCCAGGCGGTGCTGCGTCCAGCCATCATGCTCTCTGCTTGCCTGGCTGCGCAGGCTGATGCAGGTGTCTTCTGCCGAGTGTCTTGGGGTGCTTCGTGTTAGAAGCTGGCAGGCTGCTAACGTGTTTTGGGTTTTGTTTCGTTCTGTTACCCCCTCAAGGAAGAATGCCAGCTGCGGGACAAGAAGTGCGGGCCGTGCCACTTCCACGGGTACTGGTGGGATGTGGCGATTCTACACTGAGGACTCCCCAGGGCTCAAAGTGTAAGTTGGATATACGGGTGGTGGCAGCCGTGAGAACTATATGTTTCACCTGCTTATGTAATATTCCAGTCTTTGGATTGAGAGATCAATGTTCTGGTCTGCAGCGGAAAACATGCTGGGTTGGTGGGTGCTTAGACAGAGCTGGGACAAAATATTTTGTTTAGTCTGTAAAGCTGGAGAGGTAGTTTATAAAGTTATAGCAGCTTTAAAAAGGTAGGTACAAGTTATATTTTGTAGTTGCCTAGGCTTACCTTAAGTGGTCCTTGAAGACTGCAAGTAATCCCTCTGAAGTTGGGAAAAATTACTTATCACAGTGAGTTTAGGCATCCTTGTGCATGCTTTTGTTCCCTTTTAATTAACCTTTTGGTTTTGCTTTGTTAATAGATATGTTGTCATTCTGCACTCCCCCTTGAAAACATAATGTAACTGATAAGCCACATGCTTGCAGAATCTCAGGTGCTTTTTAATAAAAGCTGAAGATAAATTATTTTAGCTAAGCTTGCAAAGCAGATAGCATTCCGATACTTTGTATATCCCTGTTTTTACAAGGTGAATGTTCAAAGTTTATGGTCAAATGTCTGGTGGTAGTATCCCTTAAGCTGTAAAGAGAGTTTAAGTTTTTACTTTTTGGCCAGTTTAAATCATTCAGATCTGTTTTCCAGACAAGCTTTGCAGCCTAATACTTGGCTGACAAAGGTGGAAGGTGTATTTCAGCTGATGGATGCGTGCCAAGTCATATTCTGAGTGGGAGTTTGTGCTTCTTGTAGAGTTACACGTCATGGCCTTTTGTTCTTATGGGGTTGAAGAGACTCAAGATGCTCAGGGATGACCCTATGGCTTCTTTTTTCTAGAATCCATTACTATTTTATTTTGGAGCCCTTTAAGAGGGCTGCTGCTGGCTGCATGAACAGAATATTTGGGGAAGGGCTGGTGATAGTCTAGTTAGTGATTGTTCCATGAGTAATCCTTCCTCTGAAGTTGTCTTACGTGTTTTCATTTTCATATGTGCTTGACACTTTAAAAATCAAAAACTGTACAGCAAACCATCAAAGTAGTGGTGATCTGCTACTACAGGTCTTGCTTTTTCCATTCTGAATCTAGAGAGAAGACAAGGCAGGGAAAAGAAAAGGACAATGAGCAACAATAGTGTTCTAAAGCAAATCTATGCAGATAGGCAAGGCAACTATTTTCTGTGTTGTTTGGTCTACTAAAGCTCAATTAAAAAAAAAAAAAAAGAATAAAACCAAACTGAGAAAAACTAAAAGTGTTCTACCGTTAGGTAGATTTTAATTTTTTTTCAGTAGATTTGTAAGACAAGCTGTCAAAGCAGGTTTACCAATTTCAGTAAGTTTCCTTTTGAATCCTTTGGTTTCACTTTGATGCTGAATGGCCGCTCGGTTGTTCTGATCTTCAATACTAGCAGGTCAGCAGGTAGATTTTCCCTTCTACTTATGTTGTAACACAGTGGTTCCCAGTTTTAAGGTTTGGAATACTGGGAGTGGTTTTTTTGCAAGCTGCCATGGGTAGCTGTATGGTCAGGCTTTTCATGGAAGAAACAAATCTGTGAAAATGAGTTGATTTTACAAATCAACTGCACACTAGATGTAACGTTTTCTGAACCACGGCTTGGGAGCAACTTTCTTGCTTACAGCTTTCTGTGTATTTTTCTAAGTATGGTTTTTTCCATAGCAACCAATTGTTATGATCTCTGTCCTATTCAGTAGGCTTAAAAATGAAGAGGGGTTATAGAGGGGTGTGGTGGCCTCAGTAAAGTGCTTCAGCCAAAGTTGTTTTTAAAAATGGTTGTGATCGCTACTGCATAAAGCAGTGTAAAAGCTTAGCCTGGTGGGTTGGGGTTTTTGTGTGTGTTTTCTCATGTTGTTTAAAATATGAGCTCTTAAAATTACTATGAAAAAATACATAAAACCATCAGAGAACAGGTTATTTCATGCTAGCGATGATCAGGAGAATTCCACTCTAGATCAGAAGTTTTATATTTTATGTTATATATAATTATACCTCTGATGCTTCAGGTATTTAGTATCTGTGCTCAACATCAAAAATAATAAATATTTTGAATAAGCAAGTTTGGTTCGCCTCAGAGAAGTACATTTATCTGTGGTACAGGATGCTACAAAATATATATGTCTCTAAAAACAATATTAGCAAAAGGAATCTGTGGGGGAAAGAGTTGAGAGTGGGATGTGGTATTTTTCTCCTTAAAACTCAGATCAAGCATTGCATACTTTGAAAAGAAGACTAAACCCAAACTTGTTGCTCTTTCTGTGGTACTTGGTACCTGTGGTTCCTGTATCTTGTCTTGAGCTTTATTGCTTAAAGAGTTATAGGTGGTGTTTCCTGTAGAGCTGTGACAGAGAATCAAATTGGGCTTGTGGTGTAATAGGCAGTCTTATGAAAGACATTATGAGAACGCACAGTACTAAATCTTTAGAGGTGCCTGAATCTTTTTTTAATTACTATTTATTTAAACTGCATGGTGGGCCGAGAAGATTCAGGTGTATGGAGGAGAACTGCAGGGTTTCAGCAGGTTGTCTTTGGGACTGGAGGAAATTAGATACGCATGTTAGTATTGGAAAGTTGATTATTCTGTAGGGGGGATCAATGTCATCTGCATGTTTAAAAAAACTCCAAACAATCCACCCTTTTTATTTCCATGTTGCTCTGTTCTGGTTAGTGGTGCTCCTCTATTCCTCTGTGCCCTTCAGCAAAGTGTAGCTCACGTATTACTACTGCTAAAGGCTTAAATGAATTAAATAGTAATTCAGATACAGCGTAAGGACTTTATGCACCTGATATCATTACGGTTTATATTATGTAGGACATAAACTTCAAATATGTATAAAACACTGGGGGTTGAGAAGTACATTCTGTTGCTTAGTGAAAGATAGCCCTTGATGGGGGTTGCTTACGTAGTTACTGTGTGTGTGGACTTTTTTTATTTTGCATGTTTTGTCAATGATTTATTTGCTAAATGCTTTATGTCTTGTGTTTAGGGTTCTCCATACCCAAGTAAGCCCGTTAGATAATAATAGAGTTTTAAAACTCAATGTAAGATTACAGTTAATGAACATTTGAATTACATGGACTATGATCTCCTAGAAAAATATGTTAGTAAATTGTTTCAATCAATTTTCAGTTTCTTTTTTACTTTGTATTCAAGTAACATTTACCTGCTTACAAACAATAACCTGGAGGGAAATCCAGGCTGGATAACAGAATTCATGGTGTTTCTACCAACAGCAAGTTGAAAATCAGAAACAAGACTGTATGAAGCGAGTGGTATGACGCAGTGTTGAGTGTGTGTAATTGTGTAATAGGGCGCGTAATTGTTGTGTCTCAGAACAGCGTGAAACAGCTGATATAGTCTCTCAACATGCACCCTAAGATTAAACTGTTTTTTTTAAAAACATCACTATACCATTTCTAGACAATGTATAAAAGTGGGAAGGAAAAAAGTTAAGAAATTTGTTAAAATATACATTTTAGGTAATGATTTAATCATAGAGTTAACTGACATTCTGTGTATCTCTTTCAAGAAAACAGAAGTTC